AAGTATAAAGACAGAAATACCCCTACACTAACAGAACCGAACGGTCGGCCCATTCTGACAAAGAAATAAAAAATTTTAAAAAAAATTAAAAACGGTCAAAACCGTTTGAACGGTTAACCACCCAAGTCAGTGGTTTGTTGACCAAAATCAACGTTTTTTTATGAAAATCCGGTTTTGGGGAAAAATGGAACCGATCACCTGACCGGTTCCCGGTTTTTCCAGTCTGACCGTCCGGTCCGGTCCAGTTTTGAAAACCGTGCTTCTCTCCAGATGATAATGATCCCTCCTGGTCCCAGTAGCTGGCAAGGCTGCCCATTCACCATTATAACCATTCTGAGTTGCAGAGTCCGGAACCCAGATCATTCTCTAGGTCTATCATGGTAGGCTGAATGATCTAATCACTAAGGCTGCCCATTCACCATTATAACCATTCTGAGTTGCAGAGTCTGGAACCCAGATCATTCTCTAGGTCTATCATGGTAGGCTGAATGATCTAATCACTTTATTAATACCACATGTTAAGAAAAAAAAATGTATACTTATACAGAAAACTTCACTGATCATTAAACAAATGAATACCTTCACCACGTTTTTCTTCTTAATGAAAATGAGGCTAAGGTTTGGAAAGTGAACTAAAAACCAGCTAAAATCCTAGTTAGAGAAGTTGGGTTGAGGAACTTCACAAACCTATTCCACTGAACGAGGCTCTTTCATCTTAAAAATTTAAATCACTTTCTTAGAGTTATATTAAATATAAGTTGTGATATTAATTTTTTCTTATTCCCTTTCATTGGGTATGCAGAGTATCATTTATTTTTCAAATTCCAATAAAATTTTATTAATATCTTATGTTGCAAGCAAGAATCAGCAAGCTTGCAATTACAAGCAAAAACTAATCCATTTACCAGTTAGAAGAGTGGTGCAGAATTGGAAACACTACAGAAACTAACACTGCATTCCAAGAAACCTTTCTTATGAAACATTAGCTGAAACAGTCAATGTGAATTGACTTTTCCTCACAGAGAAAGACTATTGAAGGGTTAACTAAAGTCAACAGAAAATGTCAAAGCTAATATACTGCATACATGTACTAGTAACACACACACATGGAGAGAGAGAGAGAGAGAGAGAGAGAGAGAGAGAGACCAGTGATATCTGCATGTGCTTGAATGTACAAATGGTTCTTGGCAAGTCCACCACATGCAAGAAGTGTGTCAATCTGATTAAAAAAGGAGTGTGTCAACCAATACATGGAAAGAGAAATAACAAATCAAATTTACAAGGCATAAACTCTAACAGACAAAGCATCTAATTCACATCAACAAAAATACATAAGCAATACAAAGTGAATACAAGTTAAAAATTCAATACCAAATCAAAATTCCTACCTACAAGTCAGGATTGGGACCTATATTCATAAATTAGAAAAAAAAACAAAATTTATAAACGAGTGTCATGGCTTGGGACTAGGGAATTGAAATGGTACTAGAACATCCTATATTTCCATATTATTTATGTTTAAAGGATTGGGAAAACTGTTTTACAGATCCCATATGAAAAAAATCACAAGGAAAAAATAAATCATCAATGATTATATCACTTTAAAGGTGCATTTACATTTCTGAGATTTCCTGAGCCTTCAAAGTACTTCTCAACCATCCAAATACTGGAAATAATTTAGAAATGAATCAAATGACAACCATGGACTATCAAACCTATTTACAGTATCTGCAGCTCCAGATTCATAGTATTGCCAACAAGAAACATTATGATTTACATTTACAATTCAGAGATATACCAAGGTGCCATCTCGAATCTCCAATTGGATCTGCCAGGAACAGTGTCAAACCAGATTCGGATATACCCTTATTCGAATCCGATCCGATCCGTTTGCATCCCTATTCCCCCTAAAGTTATTCTATTCTGCTGGGAAGTGTTACATGGGAAGATCAATACTTTAGACTGTTTGCAAAAGAAAAAGCCTTTCATGTGCTTATCCCCTACCTGGTGTATTCTTTGCAAAGCTAATGGTAAGAATTGCTTCCACTTACTAACTTCCTGCTCTTTTGTTGTTGCTATTTGGGATTAGATTTTTGCCTTGTCTGGATGCAGATGGAACCGGCCTTCAGATGTAAGTCTGATTTTTTACCAATCGACCTTTGTGTGGCCCACCAGAAGAAGGAGGACTATGTAGAAATGTATTAGAGCTGCTACATTTTGGACAATTTGAGAAGAAAGAAATGCAAGAGTCTTTCAAGAAAATGGAACGAAGCCTCTTACTTGTCAAGGAATGTATCCTAACAAGGGCAATTAACTGGCTGAAAACTTTGGATATTTTCCGCTGTGTTTCCTTTTCCTTTGATGACTTTTGGAGAAACTGGTCAACAGTGGCAAACAGCTCCTCCAAGAAAGAAAAGGTCATTGTAGATTGGAATCCGCCACCTAAGGCTGGGTTAAACTGAATTTTGATGGTAATAGTCAAGGAAATCATGGCCCCTCATGTATAGGAGGGGTTTTAAGAGATAAGGACAGCAACATCTGGGCCTCGTACTCTGGTCCAGTGGGAATAGGAGATTCAGTCAAGGCAGAAATATTGGCAGCTCTACAAGGTATCCAGATAGCAAATCAAATAGGAGTGGAGCATCTCCTAATTGAAAGAGATTCTAAGGTGGTTGTGGGCTAGTTAACAGAGCCGAGCTCAGTAATTTGTTGCTACAAGGGTTTCCTAAAGAAGGCAAGCTGGTTAACAAGCAACATGAATGTTAGTCCAAGTTGGGTGAGAAGGTCGGTAAATGCTATGGCTGATAGTCTTGCTAAATAGGGGGTCTTGAGGGAACATCTGTATTGGGCAACCTTGTAATGATTTGATTAGTGTACTGTGGTTTCTTACACTTACTTTTACTTTCAAGAGAGGTCGCACCCCGTGCTTCTCTTTGGGGCGCTGTAACTTGGATTATATTTTGGTTATGAAGAAACTTCTCAATTATCAAAAAAAAAAAAAAAATTCTTTCTCGTCTCTTCTCCCTTTCTGTCTTCCCTCTCTCCTCTCCTCTTCCTCCATATTTTCTGCCTTATTTCACTGATAATAGTATCAAAGCCACCTAATCAGACTGGTTGGTCTCTGATGTCATTTGCTTCCTCTCCTATTGCAAGTTCTCTCTATTCATTGAGAGGAAGAAAAGAAACACAAAAGGAAGCTTCCATGCGTCTAGTTGCCGTTGTTTGTGAGTTGGTGAGTTTATAAGAGTCCTCTAGTCAGCAGTTCAAAGAGGGGCTGGTTGTTCATGTTCAAATGATTGTAGTGTTTCTTCAGTTGTGTCAAGTAGCTGATAAATTGTTATGTGGCTGAACTCCAATTGTGTTATTGTAAAAGTAGTGGTTGATTCAGGTGAGTGGTAAACCTGTTGTTTGATTTTTCCTCAGTGTTGGAAACAATAGTGGCAGTCCAACAGTGAACATTTAGTGAAGTAGGGTTAAACTATCGCTGCATCTACAAATGGCTCTAAGTCTGCTATAGTGATACAATCAGACCTAATGAATGTCCAGTTGACCACAGAGAAACTTAATGGTACTAATTACATACTATGGGCTAAGTTGGTTTAAGTATCTTTGATTTGATGAGGAAAATTGAAGTACATTACAGAGGATAAACTAAAAATTGGGTCTAAACGGTGCAGAGTTGGAATGACAATTTTCCCCATAAAACCGGGGCCTCGCCTGCCCCAAATTAGGTGGGTTTTACCCAACCTTAAATGGCAATGGGACAGGGAGGGATTTGCATATAATTCCCCGAACCTGGTCGTAAATTACTAAAATATGCCTAGGTTTAATATTAATTTCCAAAATATCCTTAAATTTCCCCCAAATTCCTAAAACCTTTAGGATCCCATAATCCCATAGAATCCCTTGCAAGAAGGATCATCTTTTCTATTAGATGGATAAGGAGAACAAATGAAATGCCAGATGTTTTAGCAAAACAAGGAGTTGAATGACCAAATCTATTCTGGGCAAAATTGTAATTTGGTGCTGATTGGTTTGATGGTTTCCCAATCAGTTGTAATTTCCACTGAAATTTAATAAAATTACCTTTTTCTTTACTAATAAAAAAAAATTAATAATACCCCAAATTCAAATAATCCTATTTCTAGAACACCCCTAAATATGATGTATTTTTAGGTGGTTGCCTCAGCGTAGGGAAAATTCAAGGTCCCCTATCCCCGATGGGTAGGAGTTGCCCCACCATCGGGAACGGGATAGAGATGGGGTGCCCTGCCCCGAACCCGCCCCATTGCCATTCTTATACAAGAGAATGGATAAATTATGACCTCTCTATGGAGATGCATGGAAAATCATATTAGTGTCAATCTTATATTCTTGGATACTACAAAGGAGATTTGGGAACACGCTAGGCAGTTGAATTCAGAACATGATAATGTGACGTGAATATATCGGTTGGTATTAGGATTATTTCTCTCCAACAGCCAACAGGGTGATAAAAGTGTAGAAAAGTATTATGTAGCCTTGAAGAGCTTGAAGAACAGCTGAATGTGTATCCCAAATTCGATCTTGAGGAGAAAAGCATGTTTTCTCACATGTATTTTGCTATTCTCCTAGCTGAATTCCTGGGTTATTGAACCCTAATTTCAAAAAAAAATTGACCGGAAAATTCTTTTTTTCTTCGATAGACCATTTTGAATGGAAAATTCACCCCATGTGATAGTCACATCTTTCAAAAATATGTGCATTCTATTAATTCTCAAAAAAAAAAAAACTATGTTATTTCTATTTCATGTAATTTATGTGACTTACACATCCATGAGATTAGTAATTATTGAGCCATGTTTGTGTACATCACTACTACACTGATCATTTATGACTCACTGATGAATGATGAGATGGTTTGATTCTAGATTTCTAATTCTAGCAATATGAATGATATATTTACAGTTAGTTGTCACTTGATTAGGTTCTCTATTTTATTTATTACTAACATAGATCGGGATATCAAATATGTTGGTACTGTTATCAACTTAGAAGAAAAATGTTTCATTCAATTTTCCTATTTCCCTATCTTTTTGGAAATTCATTAAATTTTCTAGTTATTATATTTTATTTTTACTTATTTATTTAATTAAAAAAATTAAATGGTCAGAAGGCATAACTTCTGGCATTCCAGTCTATGCCCCATGCCTTAAGATAATTGAATGCCTTGCATCACACTTCCATGTTTAAAACACTAGTTATTGGCTTTGTTCAGTTGTTCCTTCTCAGGTTCTATGTATTCGATGCTGGTACTAGCAATGACCAGTATGCAAAGGGAACCTATATGGTCATATAGTCTCTGTATGGAAATTTCGGCATTATTTTTTTTCCAATTTATTACATCCCCCATTAACAAAATATTATTGGAATAACCAATGAAGGTTGCAGTAGCCCTATATTTTTGAATGCTGCATAATATGTCACAAGTATTTAATTAGACATCCATAACGAGCCAACTTAAACCCAACTCAGTTCAGGGAATTGAGAGGAAACTACAACAGATTTCCAAGAGAATGTATTACATCTAATAATTACAAAATAAAGGTTAAAGTGGAGGGTATACACCTAGGTAAAATCGACCTTAGCCTCCATTTCTTTGCAGTATGCATGGAAGTGCAGATTTTGGTTCAGATTATATTTTTACTTTATTTGGTAGGTAGGAGTAAAATGAGAAGTAAATAATGTGTTCATTGCTTCATATGGAAGAGAATGAAGGTGGGAAAACTGATCAAGAAAATGAATGTGGGAGAAAGGGACACAATTTGCATGGAAAGTGCATAAAATTTTATTTCTAGGAGTGCAAATTGATGTGACAAACAAACTTTTGCAAATCTGAACTGCATGTGAATTTTAGACCCATATTTTCAAAGTGAAGCCTTAAGAATAGCAGTTGAGAAAGATTAAGAAGATGTTGATTATGATGATCTAAAAAGCATATTCTTACTTTGTGCCCATTAGAATTGCAATGTTCCACTATATGTCGTGTGCCATATGCAATGCCCTGCACTGTGGAAAGGTATAGAAGAGCCAGCTGCTTCTCGCTTGTATCAAGTGTTAAGCCAGAGATTACCCCTTTTGCTTTTGGGTCTGCAATGGGTGACCTAAGCAATTGAAAGATGTGCACATTTCAATATTTCAGAACTAACTTTCTGTCATTAAAAACTAAATCCATTATATATCATATCAATAGGCTATACCTGTTCCCATGGAAGTCAGGAAGGACATGTACATCTTTGGTCAAGGCAGCAAGAAAAGGAGCATTCATTTCATGCATCATTGATTCTAAGATTCTGTTTAGCAGTTCAAAGAGGGAAATACCTGGAAGATATTGAAACAGAATGAAAGAATCAACCTGATATTTTAATAAGTATATGAAAACAATCAGTATCACAAAAATGATAAATAGTTCTGATTTAATAAAACTTCAAATAATAAATCAACACGACAAGAGTAAAAGTTACTTTGAGAAGCTGCACGATTCGCAAGACGAGGAGAAGCAACATGGTTCTCAACTATATAATCCAATAAAGCACCAGTTGCACTCTGCCCCCCTTCTGTTAACCAGTACTCAGGTATCATTGCTGAAGATATAAAAACAAGTATTAATGATGTTAGTAATCACTTATTGCCATACCTGACAATGCCTGACTGAATAACATAACTTACAGGGGCTGAATGCAGACAAGGAATTTATCTTGATTGAAACTGTTATGGTGATGTTCTATTGGTTGATTTGCATAGAAAAAGGATGGAGGTGGCTGCTTCAGGTCCAGTTATGGCTGTTACAGTTCCTATTTGGTCTCCATCAATTGTTGGTTTCATGAAGTTGAACTTTGGTGGTGGTAGTGATGGGAATCCTGGCCCGTCAAGCAATGGAGGAGTGGAATGAAGAAGGTAAAATTCTTGCATTCTAGTCAGGACAATTGGTGTAGATGATTTGCTAAGAGCTGAGGTTTTGGCAGTTTTGGAAGGAGTGCAAAGGGCAAATGAGATGAACATTAGAAATTTGATTGTTAAAGGTGACTCAAACTTGGTAGTAGGTTGGTGCAAAAGGAAGAAGCTGGATTTTGGTGCTACCTTAATGGAAAGAAAACTGCAATGGGTTAAAAGGAGTGCTAATTCGTTTGCTGATGTGCTAGCAAAACAGGCAGTGGCAAGAGATCAAATGTTCTGGGTTGTTTTGTAACTTTTTGTTTTTGTATGGAGGAGAGTTAAGAGAGTTTCTCTCCCCTCTGCTCTTGTACTTTGCTTTAACTTTTAATAAAATATTGCACTAATTCATCAGAAAAAACAATATAAATAAGTGAACAGTTAGATGTTTATGCTGTACAGGCAATATTGTCTTTTTTCCTTTTGTTTCTTAGTCTGATATTATATATAACTCTTGGAGGGTATATTTGTAATTTTGCTTTTTATCAGAAGCTTGATAAAACAAAGGTCAATAAGAGGGAGAAAGCTGTTTGAATCTCTTTCTCCTGGACCTTGTTTCTTCTCTCTTCTTCTTCCTTTTCCTCTCTCTTTGGACCTTGCCTCAACTAAATCTCTTCCTTCATCCGTTTTCTTCTTTATTTCAACTTTTTTTCACTCCTTTATTGGCTTTTATCACATGGTAACATAGCACTAGGCTCGGCCTTCACTGTTTGCGCTAGTTTTTATGCCCTAGGAATAGAGAAATCACTCTATTCACTACAAGGCAAAGGACCTAAAAGGAGTAAACACCCATCAGAAAAGGAGGCATTTAAGGCCTCCAGTTGTAGCTGATACAGTGTTTTAGATGTTCTTAAAGTTCCCTCTTGCCACAGCCCAAAAGAGGGACTGTTATGGTATGTGTGACTAGTGCAGCAGTTAAGTGACAGTGGGTGGAGTTCAAACAATGTATTGTTGGTGTGGTGATAACCCTATTGTAAGTGCGTGAAGTGGTTGGTCTCCCAAGTGGGAATTCTGTGGTTTCCAATTGTGGTCTCTGGCTTTTTTCAGTGCTGGAAACTGGTGAAACAAGTTGATTTTCTTGTCGTGGGTGACTATAGTGTATTTGTTCAGCCTTTTGTGACCTTTATGGCTTCTTCCACTAGTAGCACTAAATCAGCTGTAGTAGTGCCATTAGATTTAATGAATACTCCATTGACTACAGTTAGGCTTAATGGCACGAGCTATGCACCATGGCCTCTGAAAGTTTCTTTAATTGGAAAAGTCAAGCTGAAATATATTAGAGAGGGCCAACCAAAGAATGGGTCTAAAGGGTATAATGAATGGGTGAAAAAAAATGCACAGATTATGACTTCATTGTGGAATAGTATGGAGAATCATATAAGTGGAAATCTTATATTTCTGGACACGGCAAAGGAAATCTGGGAACATGCCAGCCAACTGTACTCTGGATAAGATAATGTAACAATGATAGACCAGTTATACCAACATTGTTTTACCCTTCAAAAAGGAGACAAGAGTGTAGAGGAATATTATGCTGCTCTGAAAGACTTGGAGAACGAGTTGAATGTTTATCAGCCTCTCTCTACAGATTTGAAGGTGCAACAGGAACAGAAAAAGTGTTTGGATGTTGCTAGATTTCTATCCATCTTGTGATCTGAGTTTAAGCCAGTAAGAGCTCAAATTCTGGGAAGTAGTGATATCCCCTCTTTCTGGGGTATTCTCTCACACCAGGAGAGCTTCCACTCCACATTTTCCTTTCAGTCTTTTGTCTATGAGTAAGCTGACTCAAACACTTGTTCTATAACCTTTTATCCTTCTTATTGTGTTTTCCAAGATCTTACGACAAAGAAGATGATTGGTGGAGTTCATTAAGTTGGAATACCTGGATGACAATGGTCCACAAAGAGCCCTTCACTTATCTCTCCTCACCAGCAGCATTGCCATTTGGGTCATCCATCCATTTGTGTTTTGAAGAAATTGGTTTTAGTCATTCACTAAGTTAGAATGCGAGTCATGTGAGCTTTGTAAACATCACAAACATGTAGTCCTTCAAAGATGCAGAAATTTTCAACCAATGTTGTCTGAGGCATCCTTCAAAGATGCAGTCAAGCAGGTCAATCAACCAAGCTCTGATTGAAAGGATGAAAGATCCATCATATGGATGTCCGAACCCTGCAGGAAGGTTGGGCGAAATTTCAAAAATTTCTCTCACTCATGTGGGAATCGCATTCCCTATTTTAGAAAACTGCATTTTCAAGAATCAATCTTGAAACCAAACTGGACCAATATCTGAAACCAAAAGGGAGGAGAGGGATATACCTGATACAGAGCAACAGTAACCCCCAACGAAGGTGTTCACACCCAAGGAGAAGACCAAAGACTGCTTCCACCGAAGATGACACGGTGTAAGGTGAAGCAGAATCAGTAGGATGGCTCTTCAGCAAGAACCGAATTCTTCAGCAAGAATATGATGGAGGGCTGGTGAACACGACTTCAGATTGCCTCTTCTAACAAAAGGCAATATCAAGAACTGTTCTTGATCACTCCCACTGGTAGAGATCGAACTGGGTAGGGGCGGCAAGAGCAGGAAAAAAAAGAACAGAAGACAAGAGCAGTCAAACTGTAATGTCCTCTATCTGTGATCTACAAACTTTGAACTCTGTTCTGTTGTTATATCTTTGGAGGTTCACCCTGCTCTTCTATTTATAGCCTTAAAGAGAGGATGTCATAATCCCACTAGGAATTTCCTAATCCAAATCTTTTATTTGGATCTAGACTCTCTTTAAGAGATAAGGATAATCCCTTATCTTATTTGCAAATAAAGATAAGCCTTCCTAATCAAATTAGGAGTTCCTTTGATCCAAATCTTTATTTGGATCTGGACTCTTTAAGTGGATAAGGATAATCCCTTATCCTATCTGCTGATCCAAATCTCAGATTCGCCCCTATTTAATTAATCTTATTAAGTCAATTCAAATTGGGCTTTAGGCCCATTAAGTCTATATGCTCACTTAACCTCTTAATCTGCTGCCCAATTGGCTATCCTTGTATGGCGTGGGACCCAAACATTGATCTACACATCAGCCACATGGGTTCATCCCAGCCTCTGTTACAAGGCAGGGCCGAATTCACTGTAAGAGACAGTGAACCCCTGAGTCCATCACCATGGGCTCTTAATAGGCCCAACATTTACACTAAATGGTCATTGGGTTAAGCCACCTTATAAAAACCCAAGGACTGTGGGCAGATGCAAGATTAGCCAATCAGGTATTACCCTCAATGGTCTTACACTTAACCTCTCAGCTCATAATGATCAAACACTGCCCGACAAGAGAGGACCTCTCCCTCGGCTGCAAAGAACAGTGTTGCACTCTCTACTCACATGGATCCTGCGAATTAAAACCTTTTGCAAACATTTTGAAACCATAATATATATATGTATATCTCTATATAAATATATTTTGCAAAACAAATTTCAACGGTTGAAATCTACTACCGGTAGTTTTGGTTTCCATCAGAGAGAGTGCATCCCCGATCATTCACTTTGTCCGACAAAAAGGCTAATCCTATCACTATGATCACCCACTCAGATGAATTCTCGGACTGTCCCAACATACCTAGGTTTTAACCCCCTCTAAGGATCTCACTGATTGGCATATCAAAGACAGCCCAATCCGACACCTAGTGTAGTATCATAATCGAGTCTAAAGGTCAGGTGTAACATTCCAGTTTTGCCCATCTATCTCAAAGGTCCAGGGCAGTACTGGAATTTTGGTCCGATTCAGGGTTTCAAGAAAACCCACACTACATGTACCTCAGGTCTCACCTTGGCAGCAGAGACAAGCCACCCCAACCAACTTGGCAACACATCAGTATCAGCCTTTGCAAGATAAATCTCCCCAAATCTATCCAACGGCTGTGAAGATTCTAAACTAACACAAGTCTCATATGTGTCCAGTTTAAGGGTATTACACAGAAACACACCATGATAACATGAATCAAATATGTACTTTATTCATTTACATTAAATGTCATAATGTACATCATTCTGATTTGAGCTAAGGTCATACACTGTCGAACACTGATACCATGTGATCAGACCTGTATTTTGTAAAATAATAAAGAAAATCCTGGTATAAACCCAATATAGAGAGAAGAAATGGAAAAGAGGCAGAGAAGAAGAGGAATACGAAGAGAATAGAGTTGAAGACAGTTTTAGTCGAAAGACCCAATTGCCACCCATATATCATTTATATTCACAACGAAATAAAACCAAGGAAATACCCCTGATTATGTAACTTAAGAACAGAGAAAAAAAAGAACCAAAAAGAGAAGGGAAAAAGCACAAAACACTAGAATTTAACATTTCTCATTCTTGTAAAGTTGATGTGTAAATGAAATTTTCTTTTCAAGAATTCTTTTTTTTTATTTGTTTTGTATGTTCATTTCACCAATTCAAAATCAAATGGTGCTCTCTGCTCACTTACAAGGATGTAATTAAATGGAATTATCCATATGATTCCCTAAATGGGCCTTACCGAAAAAGAAAAAAAAATAAGAACTTAAGATTTCCACACTAACACATACTTATATCCTACCTATAAGCTAAATCCAATATTTAAAAAAGTGGGAGGCCTGGAGGCATGACCCAAGGCATTCCATTACCTAGAGACGTAAGGCATAGTTCAGAACACAAAAGGCAATAGCCAGCAAAACAGATGGAGGCAAAAGGCTCCTCATACAAAGGAGTTTGAGGTGTATGCCTCAAAGGAGATCCATCGGTACATTCTGTATACCATCTACATCCTCTCACCTTCTTGTCATTTAATGGAATTTGGTTCAAATTGAAGTTTGTAAATGAAGACCTTACCCCCTTTGATGCTTATACAAATCAATTTATTGTGATCGAGTTGTATAAAAGAAGAAAATGAAACAAAAGTTTGACCAACCAAAATAATTGGAAAAAAGGTTTGTTTTGAAATTACATATAGGTCAGATACTTATCTATCCCATTCAACTGTGATCAATTGTCTCTATTTACTCTGTGATTTCTCTCTTCTATTCTGTTATACTTATTCTTCTTTATACACCATTTACTCTCTAGTAGGTCTTCTCTCCTCCCATCCTACATAACCCCCTTTGGTGCTTATACAAATCGATTTATTGTGATCGAGTTGTATAAAAGGAGAAAATGAAACAAAAGTTTGATCAACCAAAATAATTGGAAGAAAAAAGTTTGTTTTGAAGTTACATATAAGTAAGATACTTATCTATCCCATTCAACTGTGATCAATTGTCTCTATTTACTCTGTGATTTCTCTATTCTATTCTGTTATACTTATTCTTCTTTATACATCATTTACTCTCTAGTAGGACTTCTCTCCTCCCATCCTACATAATCCACATGATTAATGAAATATCAATAGCCTTCAAAACAAAACAAAAGACACACTGGTCTTTCTTTTTCTGGTTGTTTAAGTTGGAAATGTGATCACCTGAACATCCAAGAGAAATTTTTGCAAGTTGGACAGACTGCAATAAGAAGGTGAAGATTTTCTGGAGCTGCATACTTTCTGCTTCTTGTTGGGAGGTGTGAAAAGAAAGGAAATAGGAGATTATTTTAAGAAAAGTTGAAGAGCAAGGATAAAATGTGTGCAGGGATAATTTTAAAGCTGGGTGATTGGGTACTATGTCTTCAAGATTTTGCAGGGATCAGAAGAGAGGATTTTGGGGATAGCTTTTGGTGTACCCTTGAATTAGTTTTATTTTATTTTTGGACCTATCAGGATTCAGGTGATATCTATCACCAGCACCTTATTGTATTGGTCTTGATTTTAATGAAAATTTTCTTATTTATTTACCTTCTAAAATACAAGATATACTAGTGTGTGTGTGTGTGTGTGTGTGACAGAGAGAAAGAGAAAAAAATTTTTTATTTATTTACCTCCTAAAGTTGTCTAATTTCTTATGCTAGTAGCCATACAAAATGCAGCCACTTATTAACATCAGCATGTGGCTTCTCATGAGAAATATAGTGCTTACTTATAAAAGATGAATACAATTTTATCCTTTTCTATCACCTACTAATGATCATGGGGTATTTCAAACACACCTGACCAGTATGGGCCCCACACCCCTGGAATGAAAACTTTGCTCCGAGATACAGCCATATGGCAAGTGGATGTTCCACAAACTAATACCATTCGATGGCAGATAACTTCCTTATCATCTTCTGAAACATAGAGCACTTCATTAAAAGAGATATGGTACCTTCAGCATAGATTATTAATATTATGCTAAAATCATGTAAAACCTTTAGCCTCCAATTCTGGAACTAGCAAACTTTCCATCACCCCCACCCCACCAGCATGAGCATCTATCAATGAAGTCCCAACTGGTGTTCCAACTTTCAGTCCTAGCTCCTGAAATTTTCAATCTCTTGTAAGGAAAAATGAAAGACACTGCACAAAATTGTATCAATAGTCCCAAGCAAAATCACCCTGAGAAGCCCACAGAAAGGAGTGCACGTCTTTCTTTTGACTAAAATAGTTGTGTTTGCTGTGTTAATGGACCTCAAGGGAGCGCCAGTTGAAATCAATGTGAATTCTTCACTACTAAGTTTCTTGCCTTCGCAGCAGCTGGAGTCAGACCAGAACCCAAAGGATGGCCAGGAAATGCAACACTTCGTCCTGTTGACATTAATTATGGCAAAATTATTAACTTAAACCAAAAAGAGGAAACATTGCTAATGGTAAAAGGCAGCATTGAGAGTATTAAATTGTTACTGTACTGGAAATGAACTGTACAAATTCAGGGTTTGCTTACTTGTTTAGCACAATTGTAAATGAACCAAAAAAAGAAAGGTTTTCCAAATAGCATGACGAAGAGGGAAGAGATATTTGTGGATAAATATAAATGCATTCAAGCATGAACAGATATGCATACGAAGATGCATGTATAAAAGTGCACACACTCTCACAGACAAATTTTCAGGCTTTCTTTTAAGATTAAACACATACTTCATTAGCAAACATAGGATTGCGGCTGAAGGATGGGATTTTGGAACTTCAATTAGGGTTACAAGAGCTTCTCCTTGGAAATCCATTTGTGATATCCTTCCTTCTTTCCTACCTCATATCAGATATAGTCCTGGGGCTGGAACTTTGGTTAAATTTCGGGACAATGTTTAGGTGGGCAATCTACTGTCAAGGACACAATTCCCCTCTCTCTATGCCACCTCCAATCGTAGGTAGGAACCCATTTCTTTTTTGGTTCCTTCGAATTCAAGTAATGGATTTCACTGGGATTTGAGTTTCAAAAGGGGTCTACATGAGTGTGAAATAACAAGTGTCATGAGCTTTCTTCAAAATCTTGATGGTGTGTGAATTGATACTGTTAAAAGGGATAGGAGGATATGGACTCTGTCCTCCTCCGGTTCATTCTCTTGTGCTTCCTTTTCTCATCCCTAATTCAGTCGAGTGATAATTAGGGGTTGTCTTTTCCGGTCAAGGTGTGGAGTAAACCTATTCCACATAGGGTGGCTGGTTTTTGCAACGAAGTGTTCTTAGAAAGAATTAATGAATTAATGCTTGTGAATCGGTGCAAAGAAAAATACCTAATTGGTGTCTTTCACCTCATTGGTGCTCTCTTTGTAAGGTCAATGGTGAGAATTTCTTTCACTTATTAATATCCTTGCCTTTTTCCTCTCCAATTTGGGAATGGTTTCTTTCTTTGTTTGGGTGCAGGTGGAATCCTCCATCAAATGTACAAAAATCTGCTCGTCTCTACCATTGTTAGGTGGCCAAAGAACAAGGGAAGAATCTTATAGAAGTGTACATGAGCAGCAATTTACTGGACAATCTACGAAGAGAGGAATCAAAGAATTCTTCTACATAAAGAAAGAAGCAGGGGTGCTATTGTTGAAGTCATTACCACCAGAGTAGTCCAATGGTAGGAGGAGGAAGAACATTGTGGAGAGGCTGGAATGGAATGGAGAAGTGCTTACAAGGGAGGAAGAGATAGCAAGAGCGTTTGTGGACCACTTTAAACCATTTATGACAGTCCTAGCAAGATGAGAGAGGACATTTCTGATTTTCAGTGGCAAACAAGGAGTAGAGAACTAATGGAGGAATAGGAAAGAAATTTTGAGGTCCAAGAAGTCAAAGATGTTGTTTTCTCAATGGAAAGAACTAAAGCCCCTGGTCTAGATGGGTTCACGATGGCCTTTTATCAAGATTGCTGGGAAATCATAGGTGGGGATTAAATGGAGGTGTTTCTAGAATTCTTTGAGAGAGGTAGGATTAACTCAAGTGCCAATGCTACTTTTATAGATCTGGTCCCCAAAAAGATGGATGCAAGACACCCAAAGGATTTTAGACCCATCTCTAAGGTGTTAGCCTCAAGAATTAAAAAGGCACTTTCTTATCTGATCTCTCCAAACCAGGGGGCCTTTGTGCCTAGGAGACAAATTACAGACCAAATCCTTATTGCCAATGAGTGTGTTGACTACAAAAAGAGAAAAGGAGAGAAGGGGCTGATTTGCAAACTTAATTTGGAAAAGGCTTATGACTTGGTAGATTGGGATGTTTTACTGGAAGTTTTAAGAAACAGAGGTTTTGGAGAAAGGTGGTGTAGATGGGTAAAAGGTTGTGTGGCTTCGTGCCACTACTCTATTTTGGTGAATGGAGTAGCTAGGGATTTTTTTTCCCTACAAAGAGAGGTCTAAGACAAGGAGACCCTCTCTCTCCCTTCCTCTTTGCCTTAATAGTGGATGTATTGGGTGGTATGATCTCCAAAGCTGACTCCAGAAATCTCTTTAATGGGTGGAGAGTAGGGAGACAAGAAGTAGTGATTACTCATTTACAATTTGCAGATGATATAATTCTCTTTTGTAAGGGAGAGCCTGAGGATATGGTCAATCTGAAATTGTTGGTAGAAGTTTTGAAAAGGTCTCTAATCTGAGAGTGAATTGGAATAAAAGTTGTGTGGATGGGATTAATAAATCAAATGAGGAGGTGGCTTCCTTGGCTAGGTTGTTGGGTTGTGAGGGGAGTGATTGGCCTGTAAAGTACTTGGGTTTGCCTCGGGGAGGAAATCCAAAGTCAAAAAGTTTCTGGTACCCAGTCTTGAAAAGATTCACAAAGAGACTAGTAGGGTGGAAGAGGAACTACATCTCTTTAGGAGGTAGAATCACTTTAATATAGTCAACACTAGTAAATTTGCTAGTGTACATCCTATCTACCTTCAAAGTGCCTGCCAAGGTTGCAAATCAGTTGGAAAAAGTAATGAGAGATTTCCTCTAGGAACCCGGGGAGTCAAAAAAGGATCACCTAGTGATGTGGGAAGTGGTATCTAGGACAAAAGACAAAGGGGGTTTAGGGATTGGAAATATCCGCTTAAGAAGCACAGCACTCTTAGGTAAGTGGTTGTGGAGGTTTCCCAAGGAGCAAGAAAGTTTGTGGCATAAAGTGATAAAAAGCATACATGTATTGGAAGCTAATGGATCTATCTCAACCCAAGGGCTTCTCGTTCCTCTCCATGGAAAGACATTGTTGGTATCTTGCCAACCTTTTCTCCTTTCATCAGGTATGACGCTTGTTCGTGTAATAAGGTCCTTTTTTGGGAGGACGTTTGGGTTGGGGACCAGCCTCTTAGGGATAGGTTTTTGGCCCTCTACTCCCTGTCCTTGAACAAATTTAAAGTCATCTCTACCTTTCGTGTTTCAAAAGAGTCGTGGGATCTAAGGTTTAGGAGAGGGTTAAGGGAGTCAGAAATAGCATTGGCAGATGATCTTTTCTCCCTTCTAAATTAGGTGTTTTTGGGTCGTTCTTGTCCTGATAATAGAATTTGGTCTAAAGAGTCCTCCGGTTGTTTCTCTTGTTCTTTCTTCAATGCTTCGGTGGACTCTTCCAATTTAGTTCTCTTTTCCTATAAAAGAAGTGTGGAGTGCTCCTGTACCTCCAAATGTGAGGGCTTTTTGTTGGGAAGTGGTTCTCCAAAAAATCAACACGTTGGACTTGCTTCAAAAAAAAAAGGCCAAATTTGTCCTTATCCCCTCATGTTTGTAGCCTTGGCTTGAAGAGTGGTGACACGGTAAATCATCTACTAATCTCTTGTCCTTTTGTTTCTGTTATTTGGGATTGGTTTTCCCTCTCTCTTTGGGTACAAGTGGGTTCCTCCTACAAGCGTGGTAGATCTTTTTGAATCTAACTTTTACAATCAGTCAAAGAAAAGAAGGATAATGTGGAGAGCAATGAGGGCAGCAGTGGTTTGGGCAATGTGGGAGGAGAGAAATACCATAATCTTTCAAGGGAAAGAAAAATCAGCACATGAAGTCATAGAAGGGATCACCATCAAGGTCATACGTTGGCTGAATTCACTAGACCAGTTCAATGACTTCTCTGCATATGACTTAATTAGAGGGTGGAGTACAGTAGCAGCTTCTTCCTACCCCTCTTTAGCTATTCAAGAGGATTGGTCGCGCCCGTTATCTGTAGCTGTTAAGCTAAACTTTGGTGGCAGTTCTGTAGGTAACCCAGGCCCCTCTAGAATTGGGGGTGTCTTTAGAGATAGGGGAGGAAAAGTCCTGGCCCTTTATTTTGGCCCGATAGGATTGGGGGACTCTCTTAGAGCAGAAGTTCTAGCACTCCTACAGGGACTCAAACTGGCTAAACAGCTGGGTTTTCAGTAGTTGGAAGTGGAGGGAGATTCGAAAATGGTAGTAGGTTGGATGCAAACAAACAGCTTAGGTGCCTAGTCCCTTAGACAACCTGCAAGGGAGATTATGCAACTAACAAGGGAGCTTGAAGTCAGATTTAAATGGACTAGAAGATCAGCCAATGCAATGGCCGATACTTTAGCAAAGCAAGGAGTTAGTAGGCAGAACCTTTTTTGGGCCTGTTTGTAATTTGCTGAGGGATCACCTTGCTTTTGAAGGTGACAGATTGTACTAAGTTTCCTGAAAATTAATGATAGTTACTAGTCCATTGAGTGAAGCCTCTTGATCACTTTAAGGATATTTCTGTGGATGAATTATTGAGAACATGGAGGGAGGTGGCTGGTTCTTCCTTTACAGAGGCTATTAGGCCTCTTTGGTCCTCACCTCCTCAGGGCTTCATCTAGCTCAATTTTGATGGCAGCAACAAAGGTAATCTGGGTCCATCGGGTATTGGAGGAGTCCTTAGGGGTGATGAAGGAAACGTCATTGCAATCTATTCAGGTCCAGTTAGAATAGGTGACTCATTGAGAGCTGAAATTATGGCTGTTACAAAAGGCACCCAGAAGGCCAAAGGGCTGAATATCAGAAAGTTGTCTGTTGAGAGTGATTCGAAGCTTATGATTAAGTGGCTTCAAGGGGAGCAGGAGGACGGATGGTGGCTCTATATCTTTATGATGAGAAAAATCATGAGATTGCTACAGGGGGTGGAGGTGGACTTCAAATGGGTGACAAGGGATGCCAATGCCCTTGCTGACAGACACACTTGCTAAACAAGGGGTGGGAATGGATAATTTTTTTTGGGACACATTATAATAGAAAATTCTGCTGGGGAGGGCTAAGAGAGTTTACCTCTCCCCCCATCTGTTTTTGTACCCATTGCAATTCTTCTTAATTAATGAAAGATTCTGTAATTGATAAAAAAAAAGGATTAAACACGTACTTTGTTTCTACTGGTAGGTTACACTGAAATTC